TTCTCTCCTTGATCAGTTTCCACCCATTGCTTCTCGTCCTGCCTTCAGGCGCCTTGGAGAATAGCTTGACTCCCTCTTCTTTGTGGCAGCCCCTGAGATATTGGAACACTGCTACCATGTCCCCCCTCGTCCTTCTCTTCGTTAAACTAGACATACCCAATTCCAGCAACCGTTCCTTATATGTTTTAGCCTCCAGTTCACTAATCATCTTTGCTGCTCTTCTCTGTACTCTTTCTAGAGTCTCGACATCTTTTTTACATCTTTTTTACATCCAAAACTGGATGCAGTATTCCAAGTGTGGCCTTACTAAGGCATTGTAAAGTGGTATTAATACTTCATGTGATCTTGATTCTATCCCTCTGTTAATGCAGCCCAGCACTGTGTTGGCTTTTTTTTTATTCCGTCTACTTAGTGACCAGTAGTTTGCAGCAGAATTTGGCCCTGGATGTCCATCTGCAAACACAACTTATTTCCTACCAAATGAGTTTCCATGTAAAGTAGAGAGAAATCTCTGCCATCAGTGGAGAGCAGCCAAACCTTTGGGAAGCAGAACATTTACAGTGATTTACAGTGATTTGAAGGAAGGTCCTGACAGAAATGTCTCAAGTTCATTCATCCTTAAAAATTCCTTTAAAATGTCCTGTTATTAGATTGTATGATGGAGAAAATGGGTTGTATTGCAGCCATGTCAGGGGTGGTTTAGACACTAGGGTTACTGTTTCTTTCATGAGAAATCTTATTATTTGCCTTTGAGAAGGGCAGAAACTCAGCTGAGGACTCTTTCAAATTTCTGTGTATACTAAACAGAGAAGGGAGTATTGATGAGCATCCAAATGCTCTCAAGTACTCTTCAGCAAGAAGGCAGGAGGGAGTTAATAGAATTTTATGTATGTAGTCCAGGGGTGTCAAACTGCCGGCCCACGGGCCGGTTTCATCATACCAAAGCCATGCCCACCCCATTGCCGGCAATGGCGAAAAATCTCCGATACGTTGTGTGACGTCACGTGACATCGCGAGTTTGACATGTCTGATGTAGTCTGTTGCCTCTGTGAATTTCACTTTGCCTGATTAGAAAATGCTAATCTGAGGTCACTTCCTTCTGTCTTTTCAGGGACACATGCATAGAGCATGTGCTTTGGGGCCTTCTTCCTAGTAGGATGTTAACTAAGTGTTCAAGTTTTATTTGCCCTATAATCTGTGTCATGTAAATAAATCCCTTTCTTTTACAATTATAAAATCTGCTTCACTAATTGTCTATGGAGATTCTCAGTCATCCAGCTCATGGTTGTCCCAAAGTTGCTTTTTCAAGAGACAACTGGACGTTCTTGTTTTTCTTTGAAGACATTTTGCTTCTCATCCAAGAAGCTTCTTCAGCTCTTGGATGAGACGCTTCTTGGATGAGAAGTGAAACGTCTTCAAAGAAAAATAAGAAAGTCCAGTTGCCTCTTGAAAAAGCACTTTGAGTGCTTCAGTAATCATTGTACAAGCGAGGAACATCCACGTGTATGTGTGCACGTGCATGCATACACACACACAGACACACACAGATGAAAACGAACACAACCTCAAGTTCCAGCAGTAGAGAGTTGACTCAAGAGGGCTTCTGTAGTCCGATGGTTGAACATCTAGGCTTTGCTTCAGTGACATTTTGTTTTCTTTTAAAGGCCCTTTCAATTTTTTATTGCATGTATATAATTGCTTATTTATTACATGACTATTTATACATTTCCCTAGAAATTCAAGGCAGTATTTTTTATTTCTCTTTCTTTCAGGCTTCCAACTACTTTACAACAGGGATGGACAATTAATTTTCCCAAGGAGCCACGTGAGAAACTGGGACTGTTGTGGGGGGCCAGTGCTATCCCTTGCCGCCACGAGCCAGAGGGAGACAGTCAAAGGGCCAGATGTGGCCTGTGGCCTGTAAAATGCCCAGGTCTGCTCTATGGGTTAAATTAGGGTGAAAGACGGCAAGTAGACTGAAATGAAATTATTTAGGAAGTAGGGTTTCTATGGCCCAGATTCAACCTCTGCTGTCTCAAACCTTCGTGTCAAGTGTCAGAGCATAGTCTGAAACCTTAAGACTATCATTTTCAAAATCAGAATCAGGATTTAATTCCAAGTTAACCTTTAACTAATTAAGCCATTTTTCTGCGGTGTCTTTAATAACTACATGGCAGGTGAACGTTTATCAAACGGTTCCTGATAATGTCTAGGAAAAGCTTCTAGACCTTTGCCCTGCTGTATGCTAAAATTAAAGATTCTGTTAGCATCAGTGGGGATCCCCTATGATACTCTTCCCATACTGACTTAACAGGCCTTATTCCAGCAGCTTTACTAAAATGTCATGAGAGGCTGTTGTCTTCACAGATCTGGCAGAATGACACTGCTAGAATACAGAGCATTGTAGGATTTTTTAAAAATGTATTAAAGGTGCTATATTCAGACCGAATATACCAAAGAAGTTAACTTTAAAACTATCTCTTCTTACTGGAAAGTCTAAAAAATTAGTACTAATGGAATTTGGTTCATGCTAAAGTGAATATTAGATTGTAGTATGAATTAATTTGTAATTCATGCTATTGCATGTTTAATCTAGTAGCGTTTTCAACAAACAATTTAGAAATGTAAACTAGCAATTCATCTTGAAAATTAATTTAAGTTGAACGGTAGAATCAGGACCTCAGAATTTTACACTTATTACGGCCTGAATGATCTTTTGTAAGATAGCAGGCTTTTTTTCTTTAATGTAAAATCAACCAAAGGCATATTTCCACTATGTTACCTTATGTACTTGGGAAGTTCCTACTATTCATGCGATTAATAATGATATAGGTCTTGCATGTTCTGGCATTCTACTTGTGCAAACGTGGCTTATGATTTTTGTAAAAAACTATAGCTGACCTTGTGAGGAGGAACATTTATATTTAATGCTATGGATATGTTGAGTTCAGAGGAGATCCACTAGGGTTGGAGAAAAAAAGTGAGGTGATGACTTTCACTGATTTTTCTTGTGAGGGGAACCGTTGCAACAGCCTGGGAATCTGGCCCTAGAGATCAACCGGTCCTATTCCTCAGCAGGAAAACTCCAATATCTTTTATAGACAGGAGGAGGTCTATTTTTAGAGTGGCAAGCTTGGATCTAAACTGGTAAGCTTTGAATAAGAAAAACACCACAGAAGAATGGAGAAGAGATTTTGCTTATTAATGTGCAAAACTAATAATGTTGGTTTAAATCAGTAGGTAATTAAACTTAAGAGGGACTTTTACCAGCTAGAAGTATCATGGCCCAGTCAGGATGTGGCTTACAGCTGTGCTCCTCCCATTAGATACTTGAGTTTTATTTCAAAACTATTCACTTCCCTCTTTGCTTTTCCATTTAGGAAGTGAAACCTGGGCTTAAGATACCATGTCTAAATTATTTACTTTAAATTTGTCATATGCAGTGACTTTTTTGTCAAAGGAAAATGATTGTGCTTTGAAAAATGTTCAAAAAGTTACACTTCTTTCAATTTATCTTTCAGTGTATCGATAAACTATTGTTTTTCAAATATTTAACAGATATGCTGTATGAAGTATGCGTGCATAGTTCAAGTTTTTTGCAGTACCTGTAATCAGTTTGATTTCTGCTAGCTTGGTATTAAGAATGACTCTCTATATGAATATAAAAATGCAATAATCCGAAAGCGTATGTATTCTTTCATGAACTGAAATGAGATCTACAAATGATCTTGCCTTACCTATTTTGTATTTTATCATCAGTGGTTTGAATAATTTGCTATACAGTACTGTGATCTAACAGCCAGTTGGATTAGCAGTTAAGGCATCAGGTTAGCAATCAGGACACCATGCGTTCTAGTCCTGTCTTAGGCACAAAGCCAGCTGAGTGACTTCGGGCCAGTCACTCTCTTTCAAGCCTAGGAAGGAGGCAATGGCAAAGCCCTTCTGAAAAACCTTGTCAAGAAAACTGCACTTTCCCAGGCAGTTGATGAGAGTCAGATACAGTTGAAAAGTGAAAAAGTACTGTGATTTAGTGAAAATCTGTTCTCTCATATTAGAATGCACTGGTTCTGTCTCAACAAAGAGGTTTCTTAATGAACCCAGGGGACTCTTCTGTTTTCCCACCAAAGCTCAGTACACTATTTTATTTTAATACTGTAATAAGCAGGTTTCAAAAATACTGAGAATCTTTACATCTTCTGAAAACATTTTGTTCATCCCATCCCATTAAAAAATATTGATGGAAGTTAGATGCATCTTATGTTCTTCTGAAATCATTTTTCTAGATGTGTGCCCTTTGAATGCAATGGCCTTAATGTGATCTAGGGAGGTGGCAATTGAAGAATTATGGCAGTTCAAATCCAACACATGGTGGTTGACGAATTCTGTTTTAACAGCTACTTATCTGATCCAGTTGATATATACTAGCCAGTCTTTTCTTTTCATCAGACATAACATCTTCCAGGGATTACAAATAGATACAGTACAGCTTTTCTGGCATGTCAACTGGGGAGTTTCATGCAAGACTAACGATCAACTTAATCTACAATTTGGATGAGACTGCAGCTAGTTTTCCAAACCAAATCTTTTTGTCCTCATAGCTCCTGGAGGCCAAAAGCAAAAATATTCCAGATATCCCAGGAGGATTTTTGCATTCTGCAAACCATCTTAAAACAGCAACTAAAAAAAGAAGCTGCTCCAAAATCTGGAGAAGGAGAACATGGCAATGCTTCCTCCCACAAATACAAGATAAAAACTGGAGGGAAGAATCTTCCCAAAGCCCTCACATAGCGAAGAAACAGATTATCACAAGTCTATCTTTGGCAGAGCAGATGCTCTTTCCATTGTAGTACTTGGCTGTGAAGCAGATACTTGGGTCAGCAACTTTGGGCCAAGGAAACAAAAGGGCATTTGTTGTCTTTTTGGCAACATTAACAATCTTTACTTTGAGGTATTGTTGACTGTGTAGCAGATAATCCGGTCAGCAACTTTGAGCCAAAGAAACAAAAGAGTATTTGTTGTTCAACTAAAGAAATGCTCCATCTCCTAGTTAAAGAATTACTGGACTTTACCTGCTCTTATCCCTTTGCAGTGCAAAAGGCAAAGGGCTTAATAAGTTACCTGTTGGATCTGATTACAATTAAAGAGGCACAGTGAAGAAACCCTCCCTTTTCTTTTAGATCTCCCATCCAAAATCCCATAACAGGGAAACGTTTCTTTGGTTCTCTTTTTAATTAAAATAGAAAACAGCCCCGTAAATCCTTCACAACCCACTTTTATCAAATGGATTGAATTAGCTGCTGCTTATGTAAGTTGTTCTGAAATAACTAATAGCTGGTGTGTCACCCTGGGACTGCTCTGGTTGTAAAAGGGCATTTACTGCAGCCACACAAAGATTACTGCTGAGATAGAGGGAAGTGATCAGGCAAAACATGATCAAAATCGAGGAGGAGGAGGAGGAGGAAGAAATTTAACCATGTTTCATGGTTTAAAACGTTTTTTGTGTAAAGTAAATGAGTACAACATTATGAAAACGTAAGACATTTAAACAAAAGGTTCGTGTGTATGTAAATGTGTGTGTGTGAGAGAGAGAAAGATGTGAAGGGGGGAGAGAGTGTAATTTTTACATATAATCCACTGAAGATGCAAGTTTTTTTTTAATTTGAAAGAAAGTAAAACAGAACCTCCCCTCAAGGCTGAGCTGACCAGTCTGTTGGTTTCCTTAATGTAGGGATCTGTGATCTGAAAGCATCGCTCAGCTCCTTTATTCCTAATTCTGCTAAGAGTACTATTCTGTGGCCTCTGAGTCATTCCTTGAATAGAAGGGAGATCTAGTGCTAAATTCTGATGGACTCACCCATCCGGGTAAGCTGCCGGATATAGGAAAGTTGGAGGCAGGGGATACAGGGGTCTTAAGGAACTTAGAGAGGGCAGCCAGAGGAGAATGTGGGAAGTGAGGTGTGTGCTATGTGTTGCTTTAAGAGAGGTGTAGATTTTTTTTTAAAAAAAAATTCATTTTGCCTAGCATGTATGTTTTCCATGAGGTTTTTTTTTTAATTGGTAGGGGGTGCACTCTGAACTTTGCACATTTCCCTACCGTGAAACGACTTTTATTATCTGCTTTATAAGGACAAATAGACAATACTTTTAGTGCTCTGATACTTTCCTGCCATCTTATTCCTGTTCCACTGTTGCATTCAGTTTCTCAACAAATTCCTTTGCCTTTAGTCTCATCACTTTGCAAAACAGAAAACAGAAAGAAAGGCCAATCGTTCTCGATTCAGTGATTTGGAGCCACATGTTACATCTGCCTTGTATTCCAGTTCTTTGACAAGTTCCTTTCCTTAGGCCTTGTCATTCTGGTTCTGGGAAATGGCCTTTTTATGGTTGGCTGCACAAAATGGACAACTGTTTCGGAAAACCACCATAGCCAACATTTACTGGAAGTGCTCACAACGATTGCTACATTCTGACAAGTATATTTTAAATTAAAAAGCTCATATTGAGGGGAAGCCAGAGTAACAGAATTTGTGTAAGAATAGGATAGATTACTTGGTTATTTCTGGATTTGGAGCTTAAAATAGATCCTAAACTTATTCTTTCAGTGGTAGGAACATCAAGCCTTTGCAAATCTTCACATTGCATGTAAGAAAATTTTGTTTCCCCCCTCTTAATTAATATCTGTCTGCCTTGAATGGTTATTATATTTTCTTTAAGATGTCAAATAGGTGGCCTCACACTATTCTCTGCATGGAAAAATAGCCATTTGCTGGTAAATATTTTTAATCCTGAACTTTTTCTTTTGAATGTAACATTTGTTTCACTAGCAATTTAAATAAACCATCTCA